GTTCAACCGACTTCTGTCCGGGGGCTGAACCTGCGCGTACATGATGTACTCGCAGTGTGGTGATGGATTGAGAGTATCCGGCGGGTTCGACGGGTCTGAAGTCCAAGGCATAACGCCGTCGTTGAAGACCTCCTTCTCCTTTCTCCGCAGTACCTCGGACAGAGTCGCATTCAGAAGCAGTCGACTAGACTGGAAAAAATCAGAGCTTGGAGAAAGATGAGGCAAACCGAATATGCCGTCAAACTTTTCACTCGTCGTGGTCAAGAGCAGCGTCCCTTGACGCGGCCACTGAACTCCGTGCAACCTCATCTCCCAATTGAACCCGGTTCCCTTGACATCCTCGACGGTCAGCGATGCCTTAGCACTTCTGACTCTGCCGCCGGATGTCGGGACACCTTCGTGCAGGATGCTCTCGTATTCAAACTCCTTCGTGTGCCGGCCGGTATCGATCACGTCCAGCAGCATCTTGCCCTCGTCACCCGTAATGTTCCTCGCCCAATCGGCCTCCGCCCCGCTCCAGTGCAAGCTCGGCGTGACCGCACTCAGGTTGTAGCTCGTCCACTGCCTCTTCACAGACGCATCCTTCCGCACCCACGTCCCCTTCACGGCCCCCGTGGCATTCTGCCAAACCGCCTCGCCCTGGCCAATGTCCCAGAGGTTCAACCCTCCGACAGGCGGTATCGCGTTCCGGCTCCACTCGAGGCACCTCTCCTGGAACCTCTCCAGATCGTCCCACGCGAAGCCGTCCTCGGCCCGGAAGCCCGTGATGTTAAGCGAGCGCGGCAGCTCCTCCTCGCCCGTCCCGTTCCGCCGCGCCGAGAAATTGCCCCACGACGAGGCGTTGAGCAGCTCGAGCGCGTGCTGGTGCCGCCGCAGCCGCTGCGTCGCGAGGTCGGAGGCCGAGAAGAGGGACGCGCCGCCGTTCCCGGGCGCCAGGAAGATCCATAGGATACCGATGAGGGCGAGGCCGATGACGACGATGCGCGGGTCTTCGTGTGGATAGGGCATGATGCCGGACGACCGTTGCCCCCGGGTTTATCTCGTTGCCATCCTTTGGCTTTGCTGAGCTGATCCTCCCGTAGGTGCTGTGGCGGATCAGGCTTGCGAAGTGGAAGGATGTGGTCGTGTGGTGTTCGTCTCGAAGATGGGATCGGGAGATTGAGTTGGTGGGCTGTAGGTGTTGCTATGCAGGTGGAATGACGGCATTGGGTCGGAGGACGGGATGCTTCCGTTGGCCTTAGAGGGCGGGCCCCACTACGGCCATACGGTTGGTCAGGCTGGAGCTCTCTGCTGCAGGTGTCCGGACCTGCCTAAGTCGGGGGCGCTACAGTGCTAATCCGGAGGCACGGCACCCCTCTGTCCTGGGAACCAACAACGACACCATCAGTACCCCGCCACCACTTTCACCGCAACGCGCCAACATCGAGAGAGGCAGGGCAACCATACTTGAGCCTCATTCCAACCACCAACTTCTAAACAGCCTTGGAACGACTCTTTACTCGCAATTGAACAGCCCTGTCAATATGGCCTCCAATAACCCCGACACGAGCAACCAGTCTGCCGTAAGTGAGACATTGCGATGAACCCCACAGAGTCTCGCGGTGCCTCGCGCAGCGTCTTAGGATGTCGTCCATGGGACGAGGCCTCATTCACAGCCGGTACTAACTGTCGCCAGGCCTCGGAAGACGCCAAGGGCGATGTCAACGCTGCCGTTGAGGAACTTTTGAACACCATCTCCAACAAGTTTGCCGGGGTGTCTAGCGAGATCTTCGCGAAGAGTGAGCACAACTGCCACCCCTTGTCCAGGACGGCATCACTAAAGACTGTCTCAGTGGATGAAATGTCTCGCCGACTGGACAACTTGGAGGCGGCGCTTCTCGCTAATAAGGAGAAGGAGGGCTCATCAAAGTCGTCTTGACCTCTTCAGCATTCAGTTTTAGGAGCACGTTCGTGCCAATGGCGTTTAGGGTTTACATGAAAGCACGAATAGAGCTGATATCACGGCCGGTCTCTCACACAGACATGAGTTATTCTTGTTATTTTGTTTCTTGGTCGGTATCCTAGGCTACCAAAGTCCTCAATGTGAGCTGATCCGTTCAGTTGCTCACCTCTTAAACCCCCGCTCCCCCAATACCGTGAGCTCTCGATGCATGTGTAACGTGACGTCGTAGAAAAAGTTCTCTACAACTCCTCCTTCGCGTCGGAGACCTTCTCCTTGGCCTGCTCGAGGAACTTGCGGAGGATGTTGGTCTTGCTGGTGATCTCGTCGCGCTTGGCGGGGGCGAGGCCGCCCTTCTTGAGGATGCCGTCGAGACGGGCGACCTCCTTCTTGACGTAGCCATCGTTCTTGGAGAGCTTGTCGAAGACGCGGACGTAGTACTCGGCGTACTTGTACTGGGCCTTCTCCTTGAGGGTCTCGGCCTCCTTCTTGGCCTCGGCGGCGGCGTCAGCAATGGTGGTGCCGCTGATGTACTTGGCGACGATCTCGTCAAGGGCAGCAATGGTGCCGGCAACGGCGTTCAGACCACCACCAGCAACACGGGCGGTGCCAGTCTTCTCGTTGATGAAGGCGACGAAGTCCTCCTCCTTGCGGCCGCCGCTGTAGAGCTCGCCCTTCTTGGAGCCCTTGGGGAAGAACTTGATGGTGGGGTAGGAGGAGACGCCCTCGGCAGCGGCAGTTCCCTTGCTGGCCTCGTTCTCGGCATCGACCTTGGCGATCACGACACCCTCATCGAGAGAGAAGTCCTGGGCGAGAGTCTCCCAGGTGGGGGCGAGGTTCTTGCAGTCTGTTGAGGGGTTGGGTCAGCAAATGCCCAGCAACAAAGAGGGAGGAGAACACCTACGTCCGCACCAGGGGGCAGTGAAAGCGACAAAGACGTCCTTGTCGCCACCAACAATGGTCTTGAAGGACTCATCGGTGAGCATGTTCACAGCGCTAGGAGGTGTGTACTTCTTCTTGGGCTTGGCATTGGTCTTCTCGGTGATGAAGTTGCTCAAGCTCTCCAGGTCGCGGCCACCGCTGTAGTCGGTGGGCTTGTCGCTCTTGCCATCGAACCACTTGAGGGTAGGGAATCCCTGAATCCCGAACCTCTTGCCCAGGTCACGCTCGGCGTCGGCATCGACCTTGGCAATCTGGACGTCCTTGTTGGACTCAAAGCTAGAAGCAAGCTCCTCGTAGACGGGAGCGAGGTTCTTGCAATGGCCGCACCAGGGGGCGAAGAACTCGACCAGAGTGGGCTTGCCAGACTTCAGGACGACATCGTCAAAGTTAGAGGGGATAAGGTCGAGGACGGCAGACTTGGCGGCAACGGTAGCTGCCAGAGCGCCGACCACGAAGCTCTTGAAAGCAACCATTGTGGTTTAGGTGACGCAGCTGAATGGGAAATAAAAACGATTCAAAGTAGTTCCTACCCAACAGATTGCGATACGCAGCTGCTCAAATAAAATGCAGCAGCAAGGATGGTGGTGTTGCAAAAGACGATTTGAAATCAGCTGGTCTGCTGAAGGTGTTAATAAAGAAGCCACTTTGCAGGACAACCTCCAACGTCACAGAAGCAACAGCTAAGCCCCCTGTCTGGCTGGTGAGGCAGGGTACCTAGGTGGCGTGTACCGCTTCCCCGGCCCCACCTTGGCCGCCAGAGCAAGAACAGCGAAAAAAAAAAAAAAAAACAGGTCTTTTATCAGCTTATCGAAAGGCAATCCCGCCTTATCTTATCGCTCTCTCACGTGAGAAGACCGCTCGTGGCACGGACCTCCCTCTCGCTTGCCAGTTCTGGGGCTGCCAGACCCTCCAATGGCGCCCCTTCCCAAAAAATCGCATCCCACACAAAATTTCCGCTCCGTTGCGAAAAGCGTCAAACCACCACCCAGTCAACCCATCTCGAGTTTTCGCCGACACCTTCGACGACAAGCCCCCCTCACGCCGACAAAATGTCTCACGAATCTGTCTGGAACTCCCGCCCCCGCAACTACGGCAAGGGCTCTCGCAGCTGGTACGAAGAACCCCAATCCCCCTGGATGGAGGAAAAGTTTTGGATAGGGACACCTGGAGGATGATGAAAGGGGGAAGAAAACACAGGCACATAAGGGACCGAAGTGCTGACGTTTTTTATCACAGCCGTGTCTGCAAGCACACGGCCGGTCTTATCCGCAAGTACGACCTCAACCTCTGCCGTCAGTGCTTCCGTGAGAAGGCCAAGGACATCGGCTTCAACAAGGTATGCGACGAGAAACCCTTGGCGGGATCTACACGACATCCCCCCCGCGAATGAAGAGCGCGCAATGGCTGACATGAGTGTGAACCACAGTACCGTTAAACGTCAGGATTACGAGACGATGATGGGACTCGAAGGTGGTTGGGCATGATGGCCCGTGGAAAATGCATTCAGACAGAGGGAGGCTTCCAAGGGCATGGAGTTCTTATGGCTGGCTTAACGGAAGAATAAAGTGCACTCCGTCGGACATCCATTGAGGATAGACGAATACCACGACATTGAACCTTACCACCATCACTATGCCGGGGCCACCAATTCAACGTGCTGTAAAGCGCGACGCGGTCCGCAGAGGGCGCGCCGCCTGGTTCTCGTCTGCCAGGGTCATTATCAAGTCTGGGGATGTAATGACGACTCGAGTCTCGCCAATGTCTGTCACGCTGAATGAAACTACGTTTGAAGAAACCAAAAAGTGATCATGTGGCACAAAGCACGTTATTCTATTGACCATCGTCTCTAAAAGTACATGATTCAAGACAGGGGTTGAAGTAGAGTGGAGATCTTTGAGCCCAGGACCCGACAAATATACACGAGCGCGAGGGCTCAAAGCGGAAAAAGCTTGGGGTCAGTTGTACATAATTCGTGACGCAAACACCTTTTGTACAATCCCAATTTTTCCATCCAGTTTTTCGGGTCGTCCCAAATCATGTATCGTATGCTGGGAAGAGAGTGTGTGCTGAGTGCCGACTCAGGGTATCGAGGTTTTTTTTTGGTTTTGATTCAGATCATTTACTCAATGACACGGGTGATGAGACCGGTGGCAACGGTGCGGCCACCCTCGCGGACGTTGAAGCGCTGGCCGACCTCAATGGCGGAGGGGTTGTGCAGGGTAGCGACCATCTCGACGTTGTCACCAGGCATGACCATCTTGCTGTCGACGTCCTCGGTGCCCTCGGGGAAGGTGAGGGTGCAGGCCTCATCGGCGGTGCGGAGGTACATCTGGGGCTTGTAGTTCTGGTGGAAACCGGTGTGACGGCCACCCTCCTCCTTGGAGAGGACGTAGAGGGAGGCGAGGAAGGACTTGTGGGCCTTGACGGTGCCGGGCTTGGCGACGACCATACCGCGGCGGATGTCCTCACGCTTGATGCCACGGAGGAGGAGACCGGAGTTGTCACCGGCACGGGACTCCTCGCAGGACTTCTTGAAGGTCTCAATATCGGTGACCTTGGACTTGATGACCTCATCACCCTTGCCGACAATCTCAACCTCGGTGTCCCTCTTCAGGATACCACGCTCGACACGTCCACTGACGACGGTACCACGGCCAGAGATGGAGAAGACATCCTCAACAGACATGAGGAAGGGCTTCTCAAGGTCACGCTGGGGAGTGGGGATCCACTCGTCGACAGCCTTCATGAGCTCATCGATCTTGTTGACACCAATGTCGTCCTTCTGGTTGTTCAGGGCGCACAGGGCAGAACCCATGATGACGGGGGTGTCGTCACCCTCGAAACCGTAGGTGCTGAGAAGCTCACGCATCTCCATCTCGACAAGCTCCAACATCTCGGGGTCGTCAATGGCATCGACCTTGTTGACGAAGACGACGATACGCTGGACACCGACCTGACGGGCGAGCAGCAAGTGCTCACGGGTCTGGGGCATCTGACCGTCAGAGGCGGCGACGACGATAATGGCACCGTCCATGTTGGCGGCACCAGTGATCATGTTCTTGATGTAATCGGCGTGACCCGGGCAGTCGACGTGGGAGTAATGTCTGGTGTCGGTGGCGTACTCGATGTGGGCGGTGGAAATGGTGATACCACGCTTGCGCTCCTCAGGAGCCTTGTCGATGGCACCATACTCGAGGAAGTTGGCAAGGCCCTTCTCGGCCTGTCTCTTGGTGATGGCAGCGGACAGAGTAGTCTGGACATGGTCAGTCAGGGTGCGCCTTTGCGCTGGTTCATGTCTCGAGGTGTACCTTTCCGTGATCGACGTGGCCAATAGTACCTAGAAGACGATTCAGTTAGCCAAACAACCCAGATGCAGCCCGCATCGACTGATCTTACCAATGTTGACGTGGGGCTTTGAACGCTCGAAGACGGCGTAGTTGCGGCAGACGTTGAGGACGGGAGAGACGTTCTTGCTCTTCAGGGCGGCCTGGAGAGGGCTGACGTTGCCCTGGCGCAGCGAGGCGCGCGCCGTGCGCAGGAAAGGCGCGACGGATCTGAAGGCGGTAGACATACTGAATGCCTGTTGTGTGTATTAAATAGTAAAGAAGAACAACAGAAGAACGAAGAGTGGGGAGATGGACAATGGGATGCTCGTTGTCGACAACGGCGCGGATGGACGGGGAGGGAGGTTGAGATATCGTCTGATGGCGGTCTCCTCGACTCGAAATTTTTTTGCTACCGGGACTTTCCTTCGGGTCTAAGTAGAGGGGGGAGCTATGCGGGAGCTCTTACGCCATTGGCGGGCCGGCGTCAGTGCTGCCAGCTGGGTCCACCCCCTCGACGGTGTTAATGCGCGAAATTTCACTGGTTGAAAAGTGGTTAACCTCACATCATGAAGTCAGAGAGGTTGCTTGACCGTCTCGAGCGAGAGCAGTTTTGCCTCAAAAGCGCATCAATTGGTCTTTAAGTTCTCAATATATACCGCACTGGATGAACTGTTCATGAAAAAGTCTTCGCACACGGCAGCCATGTTAATATGTCAACCCAATCGCTAAAGGCAGTCTATTCATTTCTATTGCCAGAAAAGAACACAAAATCAAGGAATCGAATAATTCGGACATGGCATGTGGATTGTCAAGAGCAGGATTCAACACTCCCATATAAGACGCACGGCAACGGTTAGGCAGACTCCATCGTACCGTAATTTGAGTACGAAAGTCTCGCTCGACCAAAACAGTCTGAACTCAATCAATTCTATTTGACACAAACTTCAAAGTGCTCCCAAGATCTGTCCTGTTGAATGCCAGCCTCGGTCCCGTAGTCCTTCAAATCCCAAGTTTTGTGTATCCACAGTTCCACATACGCCGGTCTCGAAGGTAATACATAACAGACTTGACCCCAAAAAACAGCGCTTCCATCATCATCGAGATCGTAATCATCAGCTGAACCAGCCAGCCGTTCTTTCTAAATGTCCGTCCACAGAGGCTCTAGTAATACGACTGCCGTGTTTGGGGATGTCGAGGACTCCTTCAGACACGGGCCGTTGCTTGAGAAAGAATGTGTAATATGAAGGCCGAACTTTTCCAGCAGGTTGAATATCAAGCACATTCACTGGCTTCGAAAGGCCACGCCGAGTGAGGTTGCCTTCACTGATACCGGGGCCGGCGGCAAGGGTAGCGGTCTGGAAACCAGGTCAGACATTCTTCGCAGGCATCGTCGAGACGAATCGTCTGCCAGACCTGGCGTTTGCTACAGGGTTTCTGTATTAAGCTCGCGGGTCGACAGAAGCGCGCGAATGTGTAGCTGCTATGCTTGCAGGTGAAGGCGTGAGCGTAGTATTGGCACATTCCGGTGGTTGTTGGATGCTGTCGTGAATCGAATCTGAAGGTTGGCTGAGACTCCAGATCTTTCGAGCGTACAAATAAGAGAAAGATGTAAATCCCGATACTGGCGTTGGATATTTTTGACTCCTTTTGCGAATTGTCCTGTATCGAATGGGAATATGATTCGCGTGACTAAATCAAAGAAATTGGCAGTCTCTGAGCTTGTAAAGTAGTAATGATCAAAGGCTGAAATGAGTGACTGGCGCGAGGCAAACAACGATGGTAAATATGTTGTTCGGAAAGAGCATTCGCTGCAATGTAGCAATCAAGACGCAACGCCGGGTCAGACCGCCACATTTGTAGTATCGTCTCAGACACTTCGAGACCGAAGGAATGCTCGCTCATGTTTGTTGGGCATCAAACTGATAACGTCGGCGTCACTTCGCTGCCACTAGCAAACAATCGTTTAAAACTGTAGGAAGCCTTCATCGGCACACAAGCCCGGATGCCAGGGACGACACGAGGAGGCCCAATGAGACGGCGAGGTCTCTGAGATCTAGCAATCAGCTTCCAGGACCGGGAGCTGCAACGTCCCGTTCCGGCTGGGAACGAGGAACAGTTCCAGGGGGGAATCCGAATCGAGTCCGTGGGTTCGGTTTGAGTGTGTTTTCACTTGAAAGCACAGGAACAGAGCTACTTCGGAAGCCGTTTGCCCAGGCCCTGGACTTGAAAGTTGGCAAACGGGGGGTTGCACTGGCTTCTTGTTGCGTCCACGTGCCAGTTCACCGAGTGCCCAACGGCGTCATGATGTCTTGGGATGGGCTTGGGCAAATCTGGGGCAAGTTGAACCGACCTGAGCGAAAATGCCGTAGCTGAACCATCTCGTGAAGGACCAGTCCGTTTGAGACTTGATCGTGACAGATAGGGCTGCAGTCCATGATCTGGGACCTGTCGTGTGACGAGTGAGGGAGCCCAAGTCGGCTTTCGATGGATTGACGGAGAAGTGGCTTTGCACTGTGCTGTACGATGGCGCGCCGCATTGTGACTTTCAGGCTGATACTGCCTCTGTTTGCCCCTTCGAGAGCACTGACAACGCATGTCGATGAACGCATCTGTACTGCACGCCTGACGACTGCATTGGTGGCATGCCATGCAGTCATGTCGACGTGTAGCGATACCAACTCGAAGGGTCGCGGGCGGGTACTTCGAAATCAGGTTGGGCTTTCCCAGGGCCTTTGGCCGCAGCATCTCTAGGCCCCGTAAATCCTTGCAACAAAGGCGAAAGAAGTATGTCCTGTCAGAGTTAAGAGCTGGTTTGGGGGTTCGAGTGTTTGATGAAGCGGCGTGTAAGTCTCGGATAGCGGTGTCTTCACCGCCAGTTCAAGGCTCCTGTTTGTGGCTACTGCCCGCTCCGGCATACGTCAGGTCGTGCTTCAAACAACCGTGGATTACTAGGAAGCCCACGACGAGAGGGTTGGGTCACCGAAGAACCTATTGGTCCTTGATTGAATGGTATGGGTTTGGCCGCAGATATGACGGCCCGCAAGGCTTCCATCCTATGGGTCGTATGCACCAGTAGCTGGCTCAGCAAGTAAGCAGATGGACCGCCAAGTTTCTATTGCCCAGAGTACACAGCTTCAACCGTTAGAGGACTATCGCATTGCCTCACTTGAGGCAGTGAATGTCGTTTCAAGTTCCAACAGAGGTGGAAGGGCCCTGTTAGGCTCTCATTGGCGGGGCTGACGGGCTGGGTGTTGAGAGGCCTCGCCAGGGCGTGACGTTCAGAGGGACCGTGGTAGTAGCGATAGCGATCGTGGCCGTGGCCGTGCAGTCAAATGATGCGCTGGCACCATTAGGTCTTCCAGGAGGCGTTGCAGAAGGCCGGTGATGGCGGCTGAGATCAGGAAGATTCTTGAAGCAGGCAGCTTACACTGAAAATGGGGTGGCTGGGATGCACTTTGTTCGGGGCAGAGGGAGGTTCCCTGCTTTGAGAAGGCGCGCGGCGTCCCGTTGGCCAGAATGGAGGAGGCTCGACACTAAAGCAGGATAGGATTAGCTCGACCGGGTCGCCACGAAACAGGGACCACGGCCAAACGTTAGCGGGTCGTCAAGCCAGGTGAGGTAAATGGACGTATCCGTACGTACCGTTGTGAGAGAGCACAAATTAATTCCTCGACGAGCAACTTGGACCATTCTGCATCGTCTTGCCCTCGCACATGAGGAATTGTGCAACCTGTCGGTGAATACACCACGCTGCTCAAGCAGCGTTTTGTTTCGGTAGGTGGGTTTGGTGCTCTGAAACCCCCAGATGGGGGTGACAGTCGCACGGGGCCCCCCGTTGGTGTTCGAGGTCGACGGGATAGATCATGGATCGGAATGCGACAGTCGACCACGTTGTAACGCTCGGAATTCCTGAACCCAGATGACCCCGCCGTTGAATTCGCATCGCCACTACAATCGACCACTTCATCAGCGGCAAGGCAAGCCATCAGTGCAGCGTCTGTGTGGGTGCATTCGACCTTCCTTGAGACTGCTGGCGGGCGAGGGAGAGAGAAAAGCAACAATTGCGTCGGCTACCGAGGCGGAAGTGCGTGCGAGAAGCGAGATGGTATCTTCCTCGTGTCTCAGCCGCGGGTGGTATGAGATGGACGGCGGGTAAGCATGCACTTTTGAAACTGATTTGCATGTATTATCCGCATCGCTTGCATCTTGGCCGTTGCGGCAAGAATTGTTAGAACCATGTGCCCGAGTAGATATTCTCTAGTCGGTGGTCCGTCGACTGCTGCTTTGGTCTGGCCGACTGTCAGAACCCCGCGGACCCTTAAGAGCGCGAGCAAGTGAGTGATCGGTAGTCGGCCTGTCTCGGGCACGATCCCGCGCGTCAAAACGAAAGCGCCGCGCTATCGTGTCTCGCGTCAGTTTGCGCAAATGCATCCTTGGGCAGAAACATGCTAGGGTTCGGACGAAGGAAGCTCAAAAAGTCAGTTTGCCTGCCACATGGGGAGTTGGGACGGCAAGGGGCAATTCGCGACAGAGAAGACGGCCAAGTGCGATGGATGATAGATGAATGAGGCGATGTCAATCAGAGTTCTGTTTGCTCGGCCAGCGGTCTTGAAAAGGAGAATGCCGAGGATGAAGGCAGGCGGTGGATGCAGACGACGAACAGACGGCGGTACGGATACTGCCAGTGTCACCTTGGTGGTGTCTCTGCGGTCATTTGGGTCCCAACTCCCCCTCCAGCTGGTGGCCTGGGGCAATTGGATCCGATGCTACCAGAAGCGGGCCTTAGGGTCCCAATTTAGCGCATCTTTCTTACCCCCGTAGCCCCGGCCAGTTCGTGGGAAACAGGACCTACGGCACGAATATTCCTGCATTGCATCAGTAAAAGTGGCAGCTCATGGAGGCCAGCAGCTCCAGCTTCGAGCCCGGCCAAGCTCCAGCTCTGGGCATGCCTTTCCCGCCCGAGGTACCTCATCCTCAGGTGCCTGCCTCTGCCTGCCTGGTCCGATTTTTCATGGAAAGGTACTTGCCTCTTCGCTCCGGTCATCTCCCTTCAATGTCTTTCCCAGCCCCGGCCTTTACACGACCATGTTACGAATACTGGCCTCGTGCATATCTCTCCCATCTCTTTCGCTTCCTCCGTTTTCTTCCCAATCCAACGGCACATTGCGCATTACGTCCCTGCCGCCGTCTTCCGCTTATCCCACCTTACTTCCCACGTCAGGCTCAGAGCGCTTGGCTGCCCATT